TCACTTATCTTAGGGCCAATATCTGATTTGAATCAGAGTTTGGAAGTGGCTTTAGAAAGCACTATTTGCTGTTTATTTCAATGTCTATGCTTGAAATTGTAGTTACAGACTTATCCAAGTGGAAGATTGTTAGATTAAGGTGTCTAAGCCAATAACTAAATTGGTATATTCTTGAAATAGAAGCAAAGTCATTTTTGGGTTGCTCTCAAAACTAGTATTTGAATGGAATGACTTTTTGGAGGAAAAAACTGATTTGTTAATTTATTATATGATTAATAAATTGTAACAAATGATTTATTAATATATTATAAGATTAATATATTAATTTGAAATAATAATAATAATTAATTTGAGAATTAATCATAAATTAATTGGAATTAATTTCGGGTTAATTAGAATTAATTGGAAGTACAGGGATTGAGCTGTAAGTGTTTAATATTTGACCAAAATAGGGTTTCTAGAACCTTCTAGATGTGGCCAAATTTTGGCTAGGTCTTTTAGGGTTTTAGGATAATCCTATTAGATAATAAGGATACAAGATAATTATCTTGAATTTTAAATATTACGATTTAATTCAAGATTAGACTTTCTAGGGTTACCCTACAGCCTATAAATAGGACCCATTGGGATCCCATTTTCGTCCACCACATACACTCTCAAGAGAGCCAAAATTTTGCTCAAGCCTCCTATATCCTCAAGTCTTCTTGCTATTAGGGTTATGAGTACAAACCATTAGAGGTATTATACCTTTGGTGCTAGCTTTTCAAGGTTTTGAAGAAAGATTTTACTTTGATTATTTACAATAATAATCAAAAGGTATGTAACCCTCATTTAGTATGAATTTCGATTTCATAGCCTCTCTCCTAGGGTTTCTTGATATTCATAGTTAGTTGCTATCAATAGAGAAAACATAGACCATTTCTAGGTTGCATGTGAACTTAAGGGTTTAAGTTGTTTTTCCACCACATGTTATTTATTTTATTACCTAAAAAACCCATCAATCATAATATTTTAATTATGATAAATATTAAATACAATGATTTATATATTTAACTATTCTAACATGATCGACGAAAGAACTCCTCCCCTAAAGCTCTTATACCAATTTGTTGCGCAAATACAGAAACTAGGGCATTTCCAACCCTATTCTATTTTTACACCAAATTAATGTAAACTCATCTACACTCATACTCGAATTTCTTGTACCACTTTGGTGTGAAGGAATAATATAAGACCAAATTTTGTGTTATATTATTCTTTTACATCAAAACAGTGTCAACTTTAGTCCACCAACTATTGTGTTTATTTATTTTTAGTTTATAAAATATGATTAGGTAAAAATGTATGTGGTGCAATTAAAAATACCTCTTTTATAAATATATATAGATATAGATATACATAGATATATACTTTTTGATGTAAAATGGAGTATGACTGGAAATCTTATATATACAAATTTTATATTATTTTAATGCAAATAATAAAATAGGATGAGAGATGTTAAGGGCTAAGACTATTCATAATACCCTCCCTATCTTTCTATTATTTTTTATTACTTTTATTTTATATAAATAATATTTAATATATGTAAATCGTTATAAAATATATACAATGATATGACAATACTACATTTATCTGTCCTATTATTAATATTTATATTAATACTAAACACACTAAACACGATTTGTTTTTAATTGACAATTTTTTTGTTTTTTAAATATTATTTAATATATCTAGATAACTACAATAACAGTTTTTAGGTTAAATATTATAAAATTGTTTTGAATTTCTAAAATTTTTAAAATTTCTAAATAAGAAAAAGTTGAATTGATTTATCTATGTATTTATGTTCTTTAAGATAATTTATAACTATTTTTTATTATATAAAAAATATAAACAAGTATAATAAATATTGTTTTATATTTTCATTTTGACATTAAAATTGTTTATTTATATATATCTATGTTTTCAAGATATTTCGATGCCTAATACGAAAATTGTTTTTACGTTAATGAAAAGAACATTGTCAGAATAAAATAATTTTTAATTTTTTCTAATCGTGTGTTAAAAAAAGTTTGTTCGCACATTAATGGTAGTAAAATTTCAATTTAAGTTAGCCTAGGGTAGTAAAATTCAATTAATGGAACATGTCTCATGAAAAAATCTATCATATTAACTTGTTTATCAATTAATAAAATATAAAAATCAATTAAAAGTTTCTTGATTATTATTTGTTTTGATAGATTTACTGATAGGACAATGTGGATGAATAAAAAAAATAATAAAGAAAGAAAAGAATGAAATGTGTAAGGGCTAATGACTAATAATAGCTTTTAGATACTATTTGAAAAGATACTATTTGAAAAGACATTGACGATTTAAAGTCCATTCATATAACATAGGAGTATATGAATAGTAGCTCCCGATGTTAGGTCATTCGATGTGGGAGGAAAAACTACGTGTGAGGTCCTATGTGGCACATCTAGCCACACGTGAACACCGATTCAAGGAGTGTGGGTAGGTTGTGACGTGACTCCCTCTACGCACAAAGACAACCAATGAGAGCGAATAAACTTTGCAAACGGTCAAATATTGGACGGTTGAATCGCATGTATCCGTTTGTGTTTAAAAAAATTACTTAATTTACAAATTTAAACCGTACATCCTACAACTATAAATACCAACCATTTTATATACATTTCACACTAAAAAAACACACAACATCTTTCTATTTTCTCATCTTTTCTTCAAATTATGGACCCAAATCAAAATACTTCACTCACTCCACACACCCCAACCACCCCAACCACTTTAAATGAGGCATATGCATATCTTAATTATATGTAATTGTTAACATCATCAATCCAACAACAACCTCTATTCACCAACTTTCCATACCACCCAAACTACTACCAACAACAACGACCACAACAATTCAATCAACCCTAATTTCAAACTTTTCAACAACAACATTCTCAACAATTTAAACCCCAACCTTTCAACAATTTCAAACACAACCATCTCATGTACCATTATCTCAATCCCAACCTATAAACCTCACAATGACGCCGATGAAAGGGTCCAAGAAACACAACAACCATCTTGAAGAAGGCAACAAAAAGAAAAAAGCTACAAAAAAGAGCTACGGTTTGGGGCGAGGACGAAGATGAAGCTTTATCGAAAGCTCAGATTTTCATATCGCAAAACGTGCAATCCGACAACGCACAATCAGGTCAAAAATTTTGGAATCGTGTTTTAGACCACTTTCACGCGCTATTAGGAAGGGAAATAGATCGGATGTACGACACAGTCAATGGAACATGACGTGACCTACGAGCGGTTTGCACCAAATTTAATGACATATTTGAAAATCTTAAAAATATGCACAAAAGTGGTAGCAATGATTTCAATATTTTATCAACCGCATGCTACCAATACAAAGTTACCAACAATGGTAAACCATTCGACCACCAAAAAGCGTGAGATATTTCATATTTGTCCTAAGGGTGAAAAAATGAGTCCTTAATTTGGAGACGGTGCATTCGGAATCAACCACCGACTCCAACAAAAGGCCAAGAACTTCCGAGTTGCATGTGGGTTTTGGCCTCGACCTCAATGACGACTTTGATGACACCGAGGGGGAGGGGCCATCAGAACTCCAACTTCATCGACCAAGGGACAAAGGGAAACGGGCGATGTCTTCATCCGGAAAAGCGTGTAGCGAAGACGTACTTGCAGAAAAATAGACAAAACTCTATTTTTTCTTGAAAAAAAATACGAAGCAACGGAGTAAGCTCGTCGTCGAAAAATAGATGGGTTAATACCATAAAAGCCATAAGTTTTACATCCCAATTCCAAATTAGCCCTAAATGGATTTTTTGTGTCTAATTAGCCATTATGTATGTGTTGACTTTTGCCTCAAACCCTGTTAGCCGGTTTCCCCGGTTTCAGCCAGTTACCCCTTTACAAATAGGGGTTTTACCGTTAGAAACCCATCTTCCACCTCCTACTTCTACATTCTCCGACTTCTTCTTCCACGCATCAACTTCTTCATGGCTAGTTCATCTACAGGGTCAATAAGTTCAGGATTTCAAAATGTTAATGTCAATTTCAGGAAAGAAACAACCCCATGGTTTTGTGTCGTTGTGGTGTTGAGGCTAGCTTCTCAATTTCGTGGACGGACAAGAATCCTGGAAGAAAATTTAGGGGATGCACCAACTACAAGGTATGTTCTTCACTCTTTGATCCAGTATAAAGTTTTGTTATGGGACTAAAGGCAAATCTGTCATAAAAATGTGCAGGATCCTTCCAGGTATTGTAAGTTCTTCATGTGGTTGGACCCACCTTTGCCTAGTGAAGATTACAAAAACCTCATGTACCAAATGCATTTCGCTCTGGTTGGTATGGCTGATGGCAATGCTCAGTTGGAACAGGTGAATGTGGATCAAAATAGGAGGTTGATGTTGATGATGAAGCTTATGTTCATCATGGTCATGCTATTTGCAGTGATGTTGGTAACAGGGACTGTATTGCTGGTGAAATTATAGGAAGTTAGGAAGTTAAGTTTAGTCTTTTGTGAAGTTGTTGGTTAGGTGAAATTGTATTAGATGCTTATTTTGGCACAGTTGTAATAGCATCTGAAAACATTTTGATGGTTGTAATATGGGTACCCCAATTAATATGAAAAGCATTAACCAGAAATTGACAATTTACTATCCATTACAAACTGACATTGAAATTTGAACTTACTACAAACCACAATCTTTATAAACATAATAGCCAAATACATACATGGAGGGTAACAATCAGAACCAAACTTCCAATTTTACAACAATGTTTACAAGCCAAAAGATGATTTCCCAAAATGACAATGTTACTACAATTTACAGTCAAAAGATAACATGTTGTCAACAAATTGGAAGCTTGTTACCAAAAGATGCTTTCACAAAAAAGGGCTATCAAAAGATTTATGCCCAATTAACCCCCCATCCATAACAACATCAGTCCAATGTAAGTGCTTTCTCAGTTGTTGAACCACCTCCATCTGGATCATGCACTGCTTTTTTCAACTTAATCTTGATAATTCTTTCCGAGGGCTTCCTTTTTCTTACCAACGGATCTTGTGTTTCTTGACTGGTCTCTTCATCAACTATACTCTCAACCAACATCTCCTTCCTCTCTTTTGTCAACTGTGAATAAGAAATTAACATAAACATATTATCACATAATGTTCAAGAAAATTGTGTTAATAATTAAATTTATAACTACACACCTTATTAAAAGCTTCAACAATTTCCCCATGATCATATCCAGATGCCTGCAGATCTTTAATAGTTTCAAAATCTTCATGGTTAAGCTTTTCATGGCAGGTAAGTACAGCTTCATCAACACCTGCCACAGATTGACTTATACTACCATGCACAACCCCTATTCTCCCTACATATTTGATCTTACCTCCCCTCCTTGCCATCATCTTCATTCTCTTCAAAGGAGAAATTGACTGATCAACATCTATTATCTTACATGCTTCTTTTGATGTGCCCTCAGCAGCTTTCATCTTTCCCTCACTTGCTTCTTTTGATGTGTGATCAACAACTTTATTCTGTCCCTCATTTGCTTCTTTTGATGTGCCCTCAACAACTTTCTTCTTTCCCTTATCTACTTTCCTTGGTGTCTTTGCAATGTTCACATCTAAATTCCCTCCCCCATCTCCCTTTGGTCTACCATTTTTCCTTTTAGGGACAGGGTCACTTGGACCTTCTCCATTCTTACAAGACAGCTTATTATGACCAAGTTCCCTACATTTCCCACACCTAACAGTCCTGCTAACCTTTGCCTTTTGAATTGGGAACTTAGAATCCTGACATTCTGAGGCATGTCTTCTTCTCTTTGTTTTTGGCCTTCCAGGCATTCTCCTAACAAGGAGTGGTAAGGGCTTCAAATATTCAGTATAGGGCCACATATTACTTCTATTAACAGGTAAGATGTTGTCCCTGTATATCTCTATGAACTTATCCTTATGGAACCAAAAGGAAATAAAATCAGTTGGATCTCTATGTTTGAAATTGATTGCAGCTTGAGCATGGACACATGGTAACCCTGATATCTCCCATAATCTGCATGAACAAGAATGAGCATCTAAATCCACCTTGTAAGCTGAATATCCATGCCTTGTCTCAAATAATGCCCCTCCACTTGGTATTACTATCCAGAACCTAAAATCATAAGTAATTAGTAATGTACATGTATAGACTTAAGATCACAATTAAAATCAAATAAGCATACCTCACATGCTTTCCAAACTCCTTAATCTTCTCTAAGGTGTTTGGGCCATAGTCACCTTTCCATTGAGAAACTGTAGCAGCTTGATGATAAAACCTATTCATCAAATAAATCCTGATTTCCTCAAGCATTGTTAGAATTGGTTTTTTTCTCATGTGAATGATCATCGAATTAAAACACTCTGATATGCCATTCTCTATAGCCTCACAAGCATATCCATGAGAGAAAAATGCCCTACACCAAGAATGTGGTTTGTTTGACATCAGCCATTCATAGCCACTGGGAGTTATGTCTTTGATTTTCTTCATTGTTGCTATAAAGTCCCCCTCCACAGTACTTTTGGCAGCTTCCCAAAACAGGTTCTTGAGCTCTAACCCAATGTATTTCTTCCTGAAGTTTGCATAGATGTGCCTGGCACATTGTCTATGTTCAACATATGGAAGTAGTTCTGTAACAGCTTGTAGTAGACCCTGACATTGAATAAACAAAATTATTATAAATGTATAATAATTAAACAAATTTACAGTATAATTTACCTTGTGCTGATCGGAAATAACCACAAGACCCCTACTACAATCAAGGTCAAGATCAGCAACTAACAGCTCAATAAACCAAGTCCAATTATCTTTGTTCTCTACATCAATCACTACCCATGCTATTGGATATACATGATTGTCTGCATCTCTTCCAACAGCGGTCAAAAGTTCTCCCTTGATCTGACCCTTTAGGAAACAACCATCCAAACCTATCACACGTCTGCAACCCCTATTCCAACCATCCTTAAAAGCCTTTAAGCACACATAAAACCTTTTGAAATAGTTCATGCCACTTGCATTAGAATCTACTCCCACCTTACAAGTGCTCCCTGGGTTAGACCTGAGGATTTCTGCAGCATAGTCCCATACCTTTGCATAATGTTCTTCTAACTTACCTTCTATCATCTCTCTTGCCTTTGTCCTAGCCCTGTGACATTGCCCCTTAGATACATTTACTGAAAACATCCTAAGTACATCTTCCTTCATCTCAGTTAATGTCATCTTTGGCTTCATAATAATATCCTTCAGGTAATGTTTGGCCAACCAGTTACAACTAACCAAAGTTCCAAAATTAAAATTTCTAGCACATAGATGTATGTCACATATAGATTTAATCTGAAATGTTCGTTCATTATACTTCCAAGCAGCATAAACTCTGAAGGGACATGGGTCTTTTTTATATATTTTCCCACACCTAGCAATCACTCTATGCTTATCACTCTTCATAAACCACAACTGATATCCATTAGCTACTGCATAGTTAGTTAATGCAAACCTGAGTTGAGAAGGGGACTCGTAACACTCTCCCACTACAGGCTTCATTTGTTTCCAATGTATGTCAGGATCATGAACCCTGTACTCTACACCTACTTTACCATCATTTTGATCATCAATATGATCATGTTCTGGATCCTTAACACCAGCTTCCTGATCATCATCTCCCATTCCATCAAGAGTCCTCCTTAGCATATTTTCATCACATAATATGTTAAGGAATGGGTCATCAGACAGGTTTGAGGTTGGTTTAAAGGTCTCTGGTGCAAAATCCAGGAAAGAGAAATCTATGAGATCATCATCAGAGTCCTCGTCCCTTACATAAAGCTTTTCAGGCCCTTTCACCTTTTTAGTTCCAGATGATGAAGCCATCTGTTCAAGATGAAAAATTATACTTGTAAGTGACACTATGGAACTCGATTATGTAAGATAAGAACACACATACACATCAATTTCTTATTGGCACCCCACGTACCTTTCTACTTCAGTGATTTTCAACTTCAAAATAGAAGCTTGTTTGCATGCAACAATGGTGTAAGAAACCCTTTTCAAATCCTTCTTCTTCCTAAGACCAACTACATGAAACCCTTTTTTGATGCAAGACGTTTCTGTGAAAGGTGATATTTGGTGGTGTACGAACGATCGAGTAGTATAGGAGAGTGGTGACCGGCTGCGTATCTTGACCTGTTGTTAACCGGCTGATAAAACGATTTTGAAACGGGGTCACAATTATTTAGGCTAATTAGACACAAAAAAATCCATTTAGGGCTAATTTAGAATTGGGGTGTAAAACTTATGGCTTTTATGGTATTAACCCAAAATAGATCTTACCGATCTTCAAATTATAAATACAAAGCCCAGCTAGATCTTGTCCCGAAAAATCTAACAACATTTTTAAAATGGGTAAATTACATAAATGGCCCCTATGGTTTGGGGTAATTTTCGTATTTGGTCCCTAACTTATTTTTCTAACTCGGAAGGTCCATACTATATCTTTTTGTTGCGTCTCTAATCCCTTCCACACAGTAAAAGACTATATTTCCCTCACCTATTTTTTATGATTAAATTATTATTTAAATATTTACTTATTAATTATTTAAACAATAAAAGAAATAAAAATAACCCCAACCCCAAACCCACATTTACCACCACCCAAACCCACTCGATATCGGATATTCTACTCTCTCTCTCTCTCTCGCTCTCTCTCTCTCTTGGAAGAACAACAATCGACCACCGGACATAGGTTTCGGTAACCACCGGATGTCACCGAACATCGGACCCCAGACGTCGGAAACAACCTATGCTGCCTGAAACCTCCGTACGTCGTTGATCTGAACTCTAAAACCAAGTAAATCAGATGTTGTCGGACCACCAGACCAGACACCGAAAACCACCTTTATACTATAAAGCCTCTGGAAAACGCAGGACGCCGTCAAACCCCCACACTATAGACTCTTGAAACCTCCATGCGTCGTCGATTCGGATTCTAAAGTCGTCGGAAACCACTGTGTGTTGTCGATCTGTTTCTAAAGCCTCCGAAAATCTTCGAACTTCATTGATCTAGACTCGAAAGTCGTCAATCTACACCATCAACCATCTGCTTCGCCTATCAGAACCATCTCCGCCTATCTACACCTCCTCCTTCGTATCCGACGTCGGTACATTCGCCGTCGCAGCCACACCGATGAATATAAATATTCTCTCTTTCTTCTCATATGAATTTGTGGTTCGATTTCTGATTAGGATTTTTGAATTTGATATTTTGTTTGAATGGATTTCAGTTTGGAATGCATTTTGGTTTGAGTGGGTTCGGTGTGGTGTCTTTCTAGTGGAAAATACGGTGATGATCTACTCCGGTGGTGATTAAATCCGACAGCACGGGCGAGGTGGCACTTTACTCCCGACAACACATAAATGGGTGGAAATATGGAAAGAATTATTGGGTAGCTCATAAACAAATGTCCATAAACAAATAAAAATAAATTATAGAAGAAAAAATACAAATAACAAGATAATTAAAAAATAGATAAGGACAATATAGTCTTGTGTGACAGGACCAAAGACGCAACAAAATCATATTGTAGGGACCGTCCGAGTTAAAAAAAATAAGTTAGGGACCAAACACGCAAATTACCCCAAACCACAGGGACCATTCGTGTAATTTACTCTTTTAAAAATTCAACAACTCCGCAAAAAATATGATAATTAGGTTCTAAGGTTTTTAATATTTATGTTTTATTAGTAATTTAGGTTTAAATTTCTATGTTTCTATGTTTTTTTTAGTAATTTAGGTTTTAAATTTCTATATTTTTATGTTTTTTAGTAATTTAAGTTTTAAATTTCTATGTTTTAAGTAATGTAATGGGTTTTTAAGTAATGTAAAATATTTATTTATGTCTTTTTATTTAATCTAATGTCAAAGAAAAAAAAAGATAAATCATGTAGAGTGGTAATCATTTCCAATGGGTAGTAGTCTGGTAGTGAACATATAGTGAAGTTGACGTGACACAGATGTGACATCACTTTTCTAGTGGGATAGTAGTGACCCTTAGACTATAGCGAGTTGGTCAATATAACCTTATACTTTTAAGTTTTAATTTTAATCCACCTTTACCTATATGTATATTAAGAGAATCATTCATTCTTGCAAAAGAATTTCAGTTTTATATCCATATTAAGAGAATCATTCATTCTTATAAAGGATATCAGTTTAAAAATGCAGATTTTAAACACGCGACACATACATAATAAGCCTAAGAGCTTCTCCAACCACATAACACAAAAATAATGAATGTTTAACACAAAAATGACGATTCAACTCCCACCGATCTCTAAAATGGTGTTTTTAGAGGCCTTTATATCTAGCATTCATATTTGGTGTTAAAAGAAAGCCAACACAAAAATGGTGATAAATGGATGATGATTGGAGTTGCTCTAACGTGCGGCTTACATGAAGAAATGAAAAGAAAAAGAATTATGAACTAGTATCACTTGTATACATTTCAAGAACTTGAGGTGAATATTTACAATTTGTTAACCCGATGCATGTTAGAACCATAGCTTCACAAACAGAATTTGAAATTGTGAAAGAGCATGTTTGGCACGAAGCGTTTGAGAGCTTCTACTTCTAGCTTTTGGCAAAATGCTATAGTTTAAACAACAAACTTCGTTTGGCAGTATAGACGTTTTAACTTTTAGTTTAAACAAAACACTTTAAATCTAAAAGCTACTTAATGCAATATTTAACAAAACGCTATTAAGCTTTTTAAATCAATTTCCAAAATTGTTTTTAAAAATATATTTATTTTATATTAATTTCTTTAAACAATTATCATTTTATATAATTTTACATATTTCAAAAGTTTCCAACTACTTTTGTCAAAGAATCATATTAACAAATAAAAGCTACAACTTCCAGCTACCAGCTACCATCTACCAACTATCTGTTATCTGCTACCCTCTACCATACCAACTACTTTTGCCAAACACACCCAAAACTAATAAAACAAGGACGTGATATGAACACTATTCAAGGAAACCTTTAAACTTACAATATTTTTTATGTATTACCATATATATATATATATATATATATAGATATATATATATATATATATATATATATATATATATATATATATAGATATATATATATATAATATATATATATATATACTGAAAAATATATTTATACATAACAAATATTAAGATAAACATCATATTTACGTTCTTTTTAAATCCTATTTCTTAATATACAAGATTTCTTTTGCCTATGTATAAATTTTAAAACGAAAAAATATGTTTTTAGAAATGTAGTTAGAAGTCTAGATATTTTGTAGAACTATAAACACATATTTTTTTCATTTACTAGAAATATTGATATAAACTACACTTGTGAATATATAAAAAATACATATTTATATTTCTACAAAACATGTTTATGCTTCTAAAAAATATATTAATACTTCTAAAACACATATAACTATATTTTTCACAAGCATAAATACATATTTTTATGTTTTTTTTAAATGTATAAATACATTTTTTAAAATATAAATACGTTTTAAAAGTATAACACACATACACACACGCGCGCGCGCACACACACACACACACACATATATATATAATATATATATATTATATATATATATATATAATATATATATATATATAATATATTATCATATCTATATATATATATATATATATATATATACACTAATATATATATATATATATATATATATATATATATATCTATATATATATCTCTATATATATAATATACACTAAGCGAATGCCCGCGCTTTGCGCAGAAACACATATATAGTTGAAGTCTTTACAAATATATGATTTTTTAAATATAACAATAACGTTGTTAAATTTGATATAATAATTCGTATACTAACTTGATATAATATATTGATTATTTTGAATTATATGATAATATATACATATTTTATAACTGCATAATCTCAATCGTTTGAATGACTTATACCCGTGAGTTATAAATGAATAAAATTAAATATAATATATGGTTTAATGTTATTTATAGTTGTTGTTATTGTTAATTAAGTTTTTATAATTTATTTGCTTAATGTTTTAATTTTTATCATTATAATTATTTAAAACATCAACATTATTTTTTGATTTTAAAGGTAACAATATAATCATTTATATAGAGTTATTTTTAACTATTGTTACTGTAAGTTATTTTAAGCTACTTATTTGAAAATTTTTAACGATTCTAAAAATATCTTTAGGAAATATTTTAGTTAAATTGAGATTACAATTTAGTTTTTGCATTTATCACTACAATTTATCACTTTTAATAATTTACAAAATATTCTTTGGTTTTTTAAGTGGAACTGGAATTTATATTTAAGTTGACACTGTAATGTTAGTATTTAAATTAACAATTTAAGTGTTTTGTCCAAACTGTTCAAAAGTTGTAGCTTTAAACTGATAATTGTTTACATACAACAACATTTTAAGTCTAATAAATTAAGTATAATATGTTAAAAGTTAAAGACATAACTTTATAATTAGAAGTAAAGATATTATTTTAAAATTAAAATTTAGTTTATTTATAATTATACTTTAGGTTTGATATTTATTTAACCTTATTAACGAACTTATCATCATTATTAGAAAGACACTACAATTTATCACTTTTAACTATTTACAAAATATTTTTTGGGTTGTTTAAGTTAAACTAAAATTTATATTTAAGTTGGCCCTATGATGTTATATTTAAATTAATAATTTAAGTATTTTATACAAATTGTTCCAAAATTATACCTTTAAAATGATAACAGTTTACATTCAATAATATATTAAAACTATTAAATTAAGTATAATATGTTAAA